CCACTCCACAAAACACCCAAAACAAATCTATTATTACACCAGACTGTCCATGTAAATGTCTGTGTCGATAGAATAATTTTAGAAGTAAAACCAAACTTGTATTGCATGAATCGTCGCATGTTGAGGGACTATTTTCTCATATATCAGTCCGCCGCTGCTGTTTCTATCAGGAATTACAACTCACTGCTGCTCAGACCTAAATCCTTCAAATACAAGGTTGGTTTTACGTCTAAAATTATTTTATCAACACAGACATTCACATGGACAGTCTGGTGGGATAATAGATTTGTTTTGGGTGTTTTGTGGAGTGGGTGAGACTGTTTTTAGTGGCAGGAGAACTATGGCCATTGACATGCACTAGTCTAACACCAGTGACCTCTGCAAATACAAGGACTGGATGGAATATTTCAAAAAGTGTCTCCACACGTCTCCAACACTCTGACTCACGAGGAAATGACGTCCTGTATCCAAAATTCTGAACTGTCCCTTTAATAGCAGCTTTCTTTTTGCTTTGGTTCGTTTTTCACTGTATTTCGCTATTATGTTGGTGCCCGTTTGGTTTATTTTGAGTCCACTTTGTTCAGATCTAATGATTCTGGTGGAGCACTTCCTGTTATTACCGCGTGACGTCACAAGTTGGAACAGAGTGTGAGAGAAAAACTCGGCCTAAACGTGCAGGGTTTGTGCGTTAAACGTGTGCGAGTGAAACAAAACGCAACTCCAGGTCTCTGAGGCTACGTCCAGGCTGCAGGGTTTAACGTTCAATTTGGATTTTTGTGGTGAAATCTGATTTTTTTTTGTGCGAGGTCGTTCATGTTTCTACTTAAACGTGACTTGTGTGTGATCTCCAGTGTGAACATTAAACGCCCCAAAAGTGTCCCGCATGAGCATCGGAGGACACGACGACGTCACACACAGCGAGCGAAGTCGTCTAAACTCTGGACTTGTCTCCCAAAATCCGGTCCAGTTCTTGGTAACATGGACAGGTTACACGTCCACGGTCTGTTCGTTTGTTTGAACCTTTATCCTCCTTGTAATTCACTCGCAGATTCTTTATTTTTCGTTGACGTTGGAGTCAGGACCGACTGTAGCCGCGCTCGGACATTTCAAAAACCGCCCTTCCAATTTGTCCTGAACACAGCGATCCTCCCAAATATTAATAAACTCTCTAACCTCACTTTCGACTCCGAGCCTGACGTGTAGGTGGGATGAACGTGACCTGACTGAAGTCGCGTGTCAAAAGATCAGATATGTATCGGTTTTAGGAGCACATCATAGGATCTGTGTCATTCAGACTGTCATTAAAAGATCAGACACAGGAGCATAGGAGTGAAAAATATCAGATTTTTATCACTTCAGGCTGCAGTCTGAACATTCAGACAACATTTAGACTGCAGGACTTAAAGCTCAAAAGTGTCCCGCATGAGCATTGGAGGACACGACGACGTCACACGCAGCGAGTGAGCTCAGTGTTTACGGAAGTCGCCTAAACGTTGGGTTTGTCTCCCAAAATTCGGTCCAGTTGTTGGTAAAATGTTCAGGTCACACGTCCACGGCTGCTTCGTTTGTTTGAGTCTTTATCCTCCTTGTTTTTGTCTCGCAGGTTGTTTATTTTTCGTTGACGTTGGAGCCAGGACGGTCTGTAGCTGCGCTCGGACATTTCTTTGGCAATCATTTAAAAAAACGTTGAAATATTAATAAACCCCCTAACCTCACTTTCCCTCCATTGACGAGACTCTGAGCCCGACGTGTAGGTGGTATGAACGTGACCTGTCCGTTCAGACTGAAGTCACGCGTCAAAAGATCTGATATGTATCGGTTTTAGGAGCACATACTCAAGTGGCGGAAAAATCGTATCTGTGTCGTTCAGACTGTCATTAAAAGATCAGACACAGGAGCATAGGGGCGAAAAAAAATCGGATTTGGGTCACTTCAGGCTGCAGTTTGAACGTAACCTTGGATATGTGCTCCTAAAACCGATACATATCCGATCTTTTAACACGTGACTTCAGTCTGAACGGACAGGTCGCATTCATCCCACCTACATGTCTTGTCAGTGGAGGGAATCGAATATTTTGGGGGGGATCGCTGTATTCAGGACAAATCGGAGGAGTCTGCGGCTACAGTGGGTCCTGGCTCCAACGTCAACGAAAAATAAAGAACCCAAAAACAAAGAGGATAAAGACTCAAACAAACGAAGCAGCCGTGGACGTGTGACCTGAACATTTTACCAATAACTGGACCAGATTTTGGGAGACAAACCCAGTGTTTAGTTTCATCAACAAGCGACTTGTTGATAACGTGTAGGTCGGATGAATGCACTTTGGCTGTTCAGACTGAAGTCACATGTCAAAAGATCAGATATGTATATTTTTTAGGAGCACATATCGAAGTGTCCTGGGTCACATTTGAAAAAATCGGATCTGTTTCGTTCAGACTGTCATTAAAAGATCAGATACAGGTCACATAAGGGTCAAAAAATCGGATTTGGGTCACTTCAGGCTGCAGTCTGAACGTAGCCTTAGTCTCAATTTAGAATGACCTATTTTGTTTGTACGATCACTTCTTGTCAGTTCTACCTCTTCCTCTGCTCTTTCTTTCCTCCTCCTCTCTCTCTTTCCCACGCTCCTTCACGCGTAAACTTCACCCGTGTTTACGCCGCGAGCCTCCTGCGCCGTGACGTTCCTTAAATCACGTGGTTTGGCTCCGTTTTTTTTTTTTTCTTCTTCTTCTTTTTTAAGCCATACTTTCCAGAGCGCGTGTCTCCACTCTGCGCTCACTCTCTCCAGCCGGGGCCCTTAAGAGCGGCGTAAAAACTTCTCCCATAAATCACCGCGCCGTAAATAACACGCGCGCTTCCCTTTTACATCTCCGCTGGACTAACAGACAATAAAAAACACCAATAAGCGCAGATTGGATCTAATTTATTGCCTCGTAAAAGCGGGCGGAGGTACACGGTAGGGGAGGGAGTGAGGAGGTCCGCGGATGCTTGTTCAGGTAGTTGGTTATGAGGAGATGGTCAAGACGTTACGCAGGGATTTTGTGCGTAAAAAATGGAACTAAAATGAAACTAACTGACGTAAATCTTCTGGCTACGGTTTGCTACTGGCTCCCCACGTGACAAAACAGTCTTAGTATCTTAAAAAATCGTGGGAATTTATGGGAAAACGTAACTTGGACGTAACTTAGCTTCGTAATTTTGTTAAAAGTTCAATGCGTAACGTCACTGGAGGGATTTCCAGCTGTTAATCTTCACAGAGGAGCATTGCTGTGCCTGTAATGTTCCACAGTATGGCTTTAAACATGTCTATTTCAATGGACAAGCTGCTGACGCAACTTGGCCAAGTTACAGGTCAGATCTGTGGAGAGGCGACTCCGTAAAGCATGTTTTTCAATGCGGATCAGCAACAAAAACACATTTAAGTAGAATCGAAGCAAGATATGTAAGTTTAAAGCCATACTGTAAAACATTCCAAGCAAAGAAAACACAAGTAGGAAAGTTACATAGTGCACCTTTAAGTTGGCACGTCGTGCGTAATTGCGAAAGTTTTGTTTTGTTTTTGATGGTTTTAAATCTCCAAAAAGTGACAAAAGATCATGTTCAGTTGGTAAAAGCTGTTGTAATCCTTCAGATTTTGTAATAATTTCTTTCAAACTTGAGTATTCTGGCTAAATTACAGAAAATATAAGAGTATTTATATATATATTTTAGTAGAAAATTGGAATTTATAATGGCACCATGTTTTGGAAAGTCCTAGAAACGAATCCTCACACCCAAAGTTGTCAAGCTATTTAGATAAACGCGATTTAAATGAAACACAGAGCCACGTGACGCTCTAAAAATCAAATTAAATCCACGTTTTTAAAAATAAAACGCTACGAATCAATTAAAAACACCCAAACTTGCAAACTCTCTTCATTAGCGACAACAAAAACAGTGCAGCGTCATGGAAACGCGAAGTTAAATTAAGTTTAAAAAAAAAAAGAATAGTCCTCGTTTCTGATGCAATATGTGAGCAAGAATGAGCAAAAATAGCATTAAAAAGTTAAAAAGTGGTGTGGCTGGTGTCTGTGTCCGGGTTTGGCGCAAAATGAACAGCTTGTGTGCGCACTGTTTGGGCTTTATACGTTACGGCCTACACACATTTTTTGCGCCTTTTCACTGCACCAGAAAGCTCCCACACCTACGCACATTTCTGCTTTTTGTCAAACCTCGTCCAACTCTTACAAAAAAACCTCAATTCTCATCTGTTATTCGAGTTTGATGTTGTTTGAAAGCACCAAAAGTTACGATGGTTAAGTTTTGAGTTGTGCGTAAAAGCTTTTTCGACTATACGCGTGAACTTTATGGAGTGCTGGAGATAGCGAGGGGAGTAAAGGGCTCGTTATTTTTGGGTAAGGGGCTGCGCGCTGTCAGCCTCTTCGCGGGGAGGGAAAGATTGATCACCGCGTTCCTTCTCTTCCCACCCGGGCCCTCCCCAAAATATCCACCGCGAATGTCGTGAACTCTGCGCTCGGAATGCCTCTGTTTCTCTCACACGGCCGGCTCCATCCGCACGTAACGCTTCTCGCTGTTGTGCCACGGCGCCTTGTTATTATTTTTTCTGCTCCTTCTTCAGTTGGGAGTGCAGAGGGGCGAACGACCTGGCAGTGAACCCGGGGAACAGGCGCTGGAGCTCGGTTAGGCATTCTAGCAACGGCGCGTAAAACTGACACGGGTTAGATAACGAGGGGATAGTGTTCAGAGCAACGAGGCGACTTGAAACTGCTGAGGAGGATAAAAGTTGTTCCAATTTGGACAAGATAGCATATACATTCAAATTATACACATCTGTTTTGTAAATATAAAGTTATAGGCCCATATGACTAAAAATAGTAACGAAAATAGCGTAATTCCAAAGTGTTGACGCCTTTAACTTCATAACTGTAAAGTAATTAGTTAAAACACTGATATTTTGCAGGTTAAATGCTGAAATGTACACTTAAATCAGATGATTGACAAGCATAAATGAGGAGTAATCACAAATATTGCAGCGTAAAAGCATCAAAATCATATTTAAATTGTGCGTAAAATCTAAAACGTGTTGAGTTATGCGTAAAATCAAAACACCAAATCCTTCAAATGTACTTTTAGCTGAAATATTTTTCTATTACACATTTAAATAAGTAGTTGTAAGTAAGTTACTGTTACTAACACAACACGTGACTAGTCCTCCAACTTTCTTAAGCTCAAACTAGCTCTAAATCCAACATGGCTGCTGCGTAAAATTGAAATACTTGAAATTTTAGTTAGATTTTAGCCCAAAAAACGCGTATGAATTGGTAGTTTTAATTGACTAACCTATTGATAAATATGTGCTACTCCTCTTAATTAATTCATCAATGCAATGGTTAATTCTGCCCCAGTTTTACGCATTAAAAATATGGAATGGCACTTACGCACGACCAGCTTTCTGCGCACTCAGTCATTTCAAACTAAAACTCTTAAGCCTAAAGTGTAGCCCTGTACTTATGCTGTCTCTGTGCGCCCTGGGGTTAACCAAAGTATTTCTTCACAATACACAACCCGATACTTTTGATCGCTGTGACACCCGGGAGCCATATTGTAAACGGTAGCCGCGGTCACCTAATGTTCACCGTCATTACATCATCACGGGAGCCAGAACCGAGCGCGGGTGACGCTCTATTGTTCGGTGCGTTAAAAAAAACCAGACCGTGTGCAGCTCGTTCTACCCCCGACCCCGCCGCCTACACTGCGCACATGGCGAACGCGCGCAGCCTCCGAGCTCGTCCCCGGACACCCCGCGCTCTCATACCCCCCGGAACGACACAACAATAGCGGGCACCGTGTCACCGAGCCAGCGCCTTTGCCTTCACGAAATAATGATGCTTCGTCTTCCCACATAGAGCACTCTCCTCCAACCATCCATCCACCAGGCCCCGGCGCTGCCATTGGCTCTTACGCGTCACATGACCAGGAATTGGCTGCAATTTCGCCCCGTAGTTGTTCAGTTTAGCCTTCCCTGGTCCCCATACGCTAGTAATATCACCAATATACACAATTATTATACATATAGGCACCGATTACGCCACTGCGGTGACGAGCGACGAAGCGGTTTTTCTGGGTGTTTTTTGGGGGGAGCCATATTGCGCGCGCTGGGGGAGGCTGCGCGCGTGGATGTGTTTTGTTTGTTATTTTGGGGCAGGGATTGTTCGGGGCTCTCGCTGTCCGTGGTGAGAACCGGTGTGAGGGGAGCTATGAATTTTGAATTTGAGAGAGAGATCGGTTTTATCAACAGCCAGCCGTCCCTAGCAGAGTGCCTGACGACCTTCCCCGCCGTCCTGGAGTCATTTCAAACTTCATCAATCAAGGAGTCGACAGTAATTCCGCCTCCCTTCGAGCAGACCATCCCCAGCCTCAGCCCGTGCACAGGCAGCCAGCCGCGACCGCCAGCGAGGAGCCAGCACAACCGGAGGACCACTGCGACCACCAATAGCACCACCGCAGCGGGCAATGGCCTCCCCAGCCTCCAGAGCCTCCACCACCACCAGCAGCAGCAGCAGCCCGGTCAGTGCCCCGGCGGACAGGCCCCCAACCCGGGCGCCGCCACCGCCACCCCGGCCGAGTTCCCATGGATGAAGGAGAAGAAGTCATCCAAGAAGTGCCCCAAGCCCGGTGGCAGCAGCGGCGGCGGCGGCGGTGGGTCCACTGGCGCAGGAGCCGTGATACCCCCCGCGTCCTGCTCCCCGTCGCCCACCGCCTCTGGGTACTCTGCGGCGGCCATCGACTCCCCCACAGGTCGGTACCACGCCCGGAGCTCGCACTGTTCATTTTTAGGCCAGTGTCTCTGCTTTAGTGCAGTGATGCTGGCATTGGCACCCCTGCATCATGCTGCAGTGCGTGCCCCCATCTCCACTGCTCCATAGCACCATCCTGCCCCCCACCTTCATTAGGAATCATTAATAATTATATCATAACCCAATCCACACAAACCACATTTATTGTCATCTAAATGCAACGTGAAATGCGCTGTTGGCTGTGCGTAAAGGGCTTTGGGAACATATTTGTGTGTGCCTGGCTGCTCTGGCTGGGGGCTCTGGTATCAGCAGCAGCAGCAGCTATTATATATTCATAACACAACTGGAGATGGTAGCCATATTGGATGGTGGAAGGGAGTATAATGGGGAGGAAAGAGAAGACAAAATATGGAGGAGTGGGGGTTGGGTGGACCAGGCCATGCGTCAGGAGAGACATCCCGAGCGCACTGCACCAGCCCGGGTTCATGCAGCCCTGTACACCGCTCCAAAGCTCCCAGTGTAATTTTATAGAGTGTTTTTTGGTGATGTTAAACTCCCTCCCACTGTTCGCGCGGCTGCCGTCTCTGATCCATTCACAAAAACACGCGCGAGTTTGTGACACTCAGCGCCTCACTACATTCCCACATTTCTCTGCACATTTCCTCCCTCAGCTCTGATTTATTTATTCAGCTCTTGTGCGTGTGCCTGCGTGCGTATGTGTGTGTGTGCGTGCGTGCGATGCTCCAGGACGCACTCTGACACGAGCGTCATCCGTCTTTATCTGCGCTTTGTTTTTCTGCACAAATACATTTATGTTTCACTGTAATGTGAGCGCGTGAGGCCTGCTGCTTTATTACAGCACACACTGCTCACGGAGCGCACTCAATAACACACAAAGCACTGCGCTTTAGCATTAAGCCCAGACTCCGCGCGCTCACACAAAACTCTTGTGCTGTGTTGTGTTTAGACCCGAACCACGCGGGGCTGGACGGAGCAGGAGCCGGCTCCAGGAGACTGCGCACGGCCTACACCAACACGCAGCTGCTGGAGCTGGAGAAGGAGTTCCACTTTAACAAGTATCTGTGCCGGCCGCGGCGCGTCGAGATCGCGGCTCTGCTGGACCTGACGGAGCGCCAGGTCAAGGTCTGGTTCCAGAACCGGCGCATGAAACACAAGCGGCAGACCACGCACCACAGAGACGGCAGCGGCGGAGGAGCAGGCCCGGAGACGGGGGAGGCCGCGGGCTTTGAGCCGCTGGAAGGAGCTGACGCCTCTTCTCCCTACTCCAGTCAGCCGCTCGAGGCGGCGGGCACCGCGGAGTCAGATGCCGAGCTGAGCGGGAACAGTAATCCATCTTCTGCCGCCGCCTACGCCTCTGACAGCGCGGACAAAGCACAGCCCACGCCGGAGGAGGGCCGTCAGAGCCTGGGTGCAGCTGACCGCCCACAGCCGCAGCCCGGAGCTAATGAAAACCCCGCGGACAGCGCGGCTCTGCTGCCCGGAGACAGCTCCTCTCTCCTGCCCGCGGACAGCGCCTCAAACCCCGCAGCCGCCGCCGCCTCCTCGGCCTCCTCGTCTTCTTCTTCGGTGCTGCCGGACTTGGCGTTCCTGTCCGGGGACGCGTGCCTGTCCCCCGGGCTGCAGAGCTCTCTGGACAGTCCCGTGGACTTCTCGGAGGAGGACTTTGACCTGTTCACGCGCACACTGTGCACCATAGACCTGCAGCACCTCAACTTCTGACGGCCTCGCGCACGGCCCGGCACATGCACACGGCTGGACAGGACGAGTTTGGGCAACATTCCTCTATTCTAAATAACTTACTAATTTTCATCTATTTTTACTCTTATTTTTTCTTTAGTTTTAACATAATTTTGAATGTTCAACACTGGCGGAATAGTTTGTTTTTGCTCCGCGCCTCGTGGATTTGTCCTCTTTTCGCAGGTATTTATTCTCTCGTTCTTTTCAGACTTTCTTTGCTTCTGGACTTGTACCACTAGTCTAGCGTCCACGTGCAGCTTACGGATACTTCTCAGGAACAGCGGAGTGCGTCTGCGCAGAGGAGCGGGACACGACCTGCTCACGACCCCTTAGTTTATTTATTCAGATCCTTTAATAGTGAAAATCAAAATTATTTATTGTACATATATTTTCATAGTGGAAGAAGAATAATAATAAAACACAAACATATGACGTGGCCCGTGGCGTTTTCATTACACTGCTGTGTTCGTGTTTGTGGGTTCACACACTTCACATTTTAGTGATTTATCATTTTATTACTGCAACTAAAATTCATGTTTATTTTATACATTTATGTTATGTATTTATATCTGTGAAATTATGATATATTTTTCCATAATGTGAATTAATTTGCAACTAAAGCTAGAATAGATTTATGCATTTCGACACGCGGTCAGAAATAATCGCGTATTTTTCCACATTTATGTTTATTAATTATATTATATTTTAGACTGTTAATTTCGTAATTTATACCAATTTAAATCATAATTTCAATGTGTATTTTTTTTTAATTATTAGTCAAATATTAAGTAGTGATAAAATAATTAATTAAATTTTTTCTTCTTTGTTTCCTTTTGAGGTAAAAACCTGTTCCAAAAAAAAAAAAAAAACGTACTATTTTTACGCACAGATTACGCACGGCTACAAGACATTTTCCAGATGCAATTTTGAACTCCAGCACACCGAGGCCACTGCAGCTGCCTTCCCCGAGCTCCAGATTTGTACAATTTTTATACCCAATTATTTTTCATACATTTTCTACCACATTACCAGTTTATTTTCTTACATTTGTACACTCTTATACCGCACCAAAACCGGTTTATTTCGTGTTTTGGAGCGTGCGTAACCGCGTGTGCCAGCGGTGTGTGCGCGCCCGGGCTAAGCAGCTCTCCTCCTCCCGTCCCGCCGAGTCAAAATGGCGCTGGAGACAAAGCAGGATGTGAACAATGAGCAGTGGCAGCCATTACAGGATGAGTGGAGCGGCGTGACAGGCGCGCGCACGGGCAGGCTAGGAGCAGAGAGGCTGCGCGTGCACGTGGGAGAGAGAAAGAGAGGGGGAGAGAGAGAGAGAGCTTTCCTCGTGCATTATCTGTAGCAGTGTGATGATGTAATAAACACACTTTGGTTTGGTTTTATTGGACACATACACGGTTAGAAGGAGACGTGCGTAAAGAGGAAAAGAGCAGCAGACGCACCGTAGATTCAGAGTTGGGAAGGTGACTTTTAAAATGTATTCCCTTACAGATTACAGATTACATACACCAAAATGTATCTTGTAACGTAATCCATTAAATTACTTAAAGTGAGTAATCTGAATACTGTGGATTACTTGATATTGTCGTGCTTTTTAAAACTACATGAATGTAACAAACACATCCTGAAAATTCTTGTTTATTGTCTTCAAATTGTCTGTTGAGCCCAAGTCTCCATGAACAGACTTTTGTTTTACTGTAGAGAAACAAAGACGAGGAAATCGTAACATAAGATGTTTTATTTGCTAAAAGAAAATAAAAAGTCCAGTCTTTACTTAAACATATTAAAAATATTATTGATAGAGAAATAATGTTTATATGAGATCACCTTAAATGATGTTCACCTACTGTTAGTGTCTTTGTTTAGACCTGGTTTAGTCCTGGTTTAGTTTTGATTTAGGCCTGGTTTAGTCCTGGTTTAGGCCTGGTTTAGTCCTGGTTTAGGCCTGGTTTTGGTTCTGGTTTTAGTCCTGGTTTTGGTCCTGGTTTAGACCTGGTTTAGGCCTGGTTTAGTTCTGGTTTTAGTCCTGGTTTTGGTTCTGGTTTTAGTCCTGGTTTTTGTCCTGGTTTAGACCTGGTTTAGGCCTGGTTTAGTTCTGGTTTTAGTCCTGCTTTTAGACCTGGTTTAGTCTTGGTTTTGGTACTGGTTTAGACCTGGTTTAGGCCTGGTTTAGTTTTGATTTTAGTCCTGCTTTTAGACCTGGTTTAGTCCTGGTTTAGACCTGGTTTAGTCCTGGTTTTAGTCCTGGTTTAGTCCTGGTTTAGTTCTGGTTTTAGTCCTGGTTTAGTTCTGGTTTTAGTCCTGGTTTAGTTCTGGTTTTAGTCCTGGTTTAGTTCTGGTTTTAGTCCTGGTTTAGTTCTGGTTTTAGTCCTGGTTTAGTTCTGGTTTTAGACCTGGTTTAGTGTCCGGCAATGAGTGGAATTACCAAAAAAAAAAACAAAACAAAAAAAACAACAACAACAACAAATATAGCCCAAAATGTGAAAACAGGAAAACAGGAAAATCCCTCTGTGTAATCCATTTACTTCAACAAAGTAGCTGTAATCCAATTACCACTCACTGAAACAGTAACTGTAACTGAATACAGTTACTCATAATTTGTACTCTGATTACTTCAGTACATGTAATCTGTTACTCCCCAACACTGGTTATATAAAGAGAAATCCAGGCCATTCATTTATTTACACATTTAATTATGATCATTTAAATCCATGAAGGTTTTAAAATACACAATTAAAATGTAAAATATTATGAAAAATAGTAGAAAAATGCCAAAAAATTGTAGGTAAATCTTTTATTCCACTGGCGTCATGTTTAAATCTGCAATCGACTAAAGAAATTCTCAGTGGATTAAAGGCCTGGCAGTGGATTAGTCGACTAAAAAGGGGGCGTGGCCTTGCGTATTTGACCCAAAATTATCCTCACAAAAGTTCACCTGCTTCCGGAGTTGTTTTTACGCATGGAAAATCCAAAGAAGCAACGCGTTTATGTAAAGACAGATTCAATTTGTGAAGTTTTATTCTGATTTTTTTTACACACAAATCTCAAATAATACCAGGTTTTCAGGTCACTGAACAGACCTGGTTTAGACCTGGTTTAGGCCTGATTTAGACCTGGTTTTAGACCTGGTTTAGGCCTGGTTTAGTCCTGGTTTAGACCTGGTTTAGGCCTGGTTTAGTCCTGGTTTAGACCTGGTTTAGACCTGGTTTAGACCTGGTTTTAGTCCTGGTTTAGTCCTGGTTTAGTCCTGGTTTGGACCTGGTTTTAGACCTGGTTTAGACCTGGTTTAGATCTGGTTTTAGACCTGGTTTTAGTCCTGGTTTAGACCTGGTTTTAGACCTGGTTTAGTCCTGGTTTTAGACCTGGTTTTAGTCCTGGTTTGGACCTGGTTTTAGACCTGGTTTAGGCCTAATTTAGACCTGGTTTTAGACCTGGTTTAGACCTGGTTTTAGACCTGGTTTAGACCTGGTTTTAGACCTGGTTTAGACCTGGTTTAGGCCTGGTTTAGTCCTGGTTTAGACCTGGTTTAGTCCTGGTTTAGACCTGGTTTAGACCTGGTTTAGTCCTGGTTTAGACCTGGTTTAGATCTGGTTTTAGACCTGGTTTTAGTCCTGGTTTGGACCTGGTTTTAGTCCTGGTTTGGACCTGGTTTTAGTCCTGGTTTGGACCTGGTTTTAGACCTGGTTTAGACCTGGTTTTAGACCAGGTTTAGTGTCCGGCAATGAGTGGACCTGGTTTAGTCCTGGTTTAGACCTGGTTTACCTGGTTTAGTCCTGGTTTAGACCTGGTTTAGTCCTGGTTTAGACCTGGTTTAGACCTGGTTTTAGACCTGGTTTAGACCTGGTTTTAGACCTGGTTTAGTCCTGGTTTTAGACCTGGTTTAGGCCTGGTTTAGTCCTGGTTTAGACCTGGTTTACCTGGTTTAGTTTACCTGGTTTAGACCTGGTTTTAGTCCTGGTTTAGACCTGGTTTAGTCCTGGTTTTAGACCTGGTTTAGACCTGGTTTAGACCTGGTTTAGTCCTGGTTTAGACCTGGTTTAGACCTGGTTTAGTCCTGGTTTAGAAAAAAGGAAAACCTGGTTTAGCTGGTTTAGCCCAAAATGTGAAAACAGGAAAATCCCTCTGTGTAATCCATTTATTTCAACAAAGTAACTGTAATCCAATTACCACTCACTGAAACAGTAACTGTAACTGAATACAGTTACTCATCATTTGTACTCTGATTACTCTGGTACATGTAATCTGTTACTCCCCGACACTGTCTGTGTCCCATCAAATAAAATGATTAGTCGGTTAAAAACGATCTTGTTGGACCAAAAAGTGGGCGTGGCAAAGTTCTTTATGCCTCAGTTGAGTCGAATTAAAACAACGAATCTTCACTTCCAAATCTTCACGTCGAGCTTAATCCACACTTTCTTTTTTTCTGCTCTTATACAGATACAAACTTATCATCTAAATACAATAATGAGTCATCGAAAGCAAATCTTCAAAAAGCTCCTGCTGCAAAAAACTCAAATCTGGACAAGTTAAGACGACTTGAATTAAGAAAGTTTCATCGTGATTTGAAAACGATCTACTAATGGAACACTTTGCTACACTTTAAATAAGAAAAAACTACAGATTTTTGCACGTAAAATAAGAAAAAAACTAACTAATGTTGCTTGAATGAAGAAAAACACACACTTCTGGAGGATCATTTTACTTGTCGAGCTGAATCGACTCTGATAGAGGTTTTTGTGTTGCGCTGAATGCTTTTTTTTGTTTTGCTGGTGTTTGATTTAAACCCCGATCATCTAAAAATCAAAATAAATAAAACAATTAGTCGATTAAAACACATTTTGGTCGATTAAGAAGACACTACTGACCGATTAAAAGCTCTAATCAGAACTTCCTGGTGCCGATCTGAGGTGGAAAAAGAGAAAATCTGTGTTTATTTATTTCTAAAAAGCTTTCAAATGTTGTGGTTTATTGTTATCAGTTCAGTTTAAAGTCCAAATTTGACAAGTTTGAAGATAAAATCCTAAAAAAATGACAAGATTCGTGATTCATTTTCATTCGTGATTTCTGTCAAAAACGATTCTTCTTCCAAAACGGAACCTCACATCGACGTGACTCGAATGAAGAAAGTTTCATCGTGATTTCAGTAAACTTCACTCGACAGGTAAAATAATAAACCAACGGGACACGTTTTGTACTTAAAATATGAAAATACATCTTCTACACTCAAGATTTAATGTCGCTTGGATGAAGAAAAACACATTTATTCGACTGGTGGATCATTTTACTCGTCAAGTTGAATCGACTCAAATAA